TCGGATATATATTTGATATATATCAATTTATATATAGAAACCCATTTTTCAAATACTGTTTGGAAACACATTAGCTAGACAAATCGCGTACTAATAGCGCAATTAGAAAACTATGCATGATCTCGAGACTCCGGCCGAAAACCAAGAAAACTTTCGCATTACTATATGACAATATATTAAATATTATTATATTAAATTTAATTCCCGCGTACGTAGTCTTTTGGAAATTATTGGATTCAGATCTATGTTCAACCGGAGAAATAAAATATTGACAAGCTTCGACACATGAATTGAAAATAACAAGTTATTTATAACCCTAATAATAGAAAATTGGAGAACGAATATTGATATTTTGAATGATTTTGTAAGTAGTCCAATTAATGAGATAAAAAACTGCAACAAAGTCAAACGCCATAGTTTTTACATTTTTTTTAAATGTTATTGAATGAAAGCAAAATATATCGGAAATAGCATCAAATTTAAGAATAAGTTTAGATTTGTTCGATTTGGTCAAATGTGTGCGCTGGGAATGACGCGCGTGCTGAGTGCGATTGTTTTGAGTCCTGTTGGAATGTCCAAGGTCTGCGGCCAGAATATTTGCGTGCTCAAAGCTTTATTTTTTTCGGGATAATATTCGGCATTTATTCTGATGCCACGGTCGATTAATACGCGCGGAGAGTGACCATCGGCTGTTATGGCGGCCCACACCATCACCATGGCCAGCGCTTGAGTTCTGGTGGCCAAACGAAGGTTTGGCAAATAACTAGATCATTTTGTTTGTTTACAAACTGCTGGACAACGAATGTATTCTCATTGGAGAAAACCAAATTCGGCAGTTCACCACTTTCGACCAAGCGAAGCAACTCTTAAGCTCTTTTGAGTCTATTTTCTTTCTGTTGCGGTGTAAGTTTTTGCACTTTTTGGAATTTCAATAATTTTTCAATATTTGCCGAATGAAAAATTGCGCTATGTTCAGCTCACGAGTAATTTTTCGGCCACTGCGACGCGGGTTTCGATCAAGTCGCTTCTTTACCTATCGAACCATTTCTGCTGATGTTGCTGTTTTCTTCCGTCCACTTCTTTGACGTCGGGCTACGCTACCAGTATCACGGTATAGAGAGATTTATTCACATTTAAATGCTGTATTGCCTTAACGATAGCCACTTATGGTTTTCCAGTCAAATATAAAGAAATCGCACTACCACGTTTGAAATCCATCACGAATGACTTTTTTTCTGGAAAATTCTCACCAGAATACTTTTGTACGCTTGTAATCAATATAATGAGCGCTCACTGGAATCATTTTAACAGCTGTCGGGCGAGAGGTTTAGAAATGACTGCAGTCTGAAGTTGGTTGCAGTTTTTTCATCTCACCCTGTATATATCTAATATATTGATTAACATGTTCTTCTTGTCAAAAGGGTTTAAGATATACAAAATCTTTAAGACAAATTATGGTGGTGTATGGTGTCATATGGCCACCTTTGCTGAGTTGTTATATTCTCATGGCGGTTTTACACTCATTTACGTTCATAGATTGCTAAGTATCAAGTTAAGGTCATTTGCTTTCCAAATTCCAGCTGCAACCAAAAAATGCAAACAACTAGATTTCTGTGATTTTGTAACAGAACAAGTAGAATAATAGCCATAAGTGAAATTTCAAATATATCAATTATTAAAGAGACATGCGGATTGGGATGGCTAATGTGCTATACGTTGAAGTTCAGCTTTTATTATACCCTACAACACTATGTGTTGGGGGTATTATAAGTTTGATTGGGCCAAAAATTATGTAACACCACGAAATATTGATTTCCCATATAGGAAAGTATATATGGATCTTCCTATCTCGCCGAGCTGAGTCGATCTAGCTATGTATGTCCGTCCGTCCGTCTGTCCGTCTGTCCGTCTGTCCGTCTGTCCATGTTAATTTGTAATCACTCTACAGGTCGCAATTATGGCCCGATCTTCACGAAATTTAGAATGGAGGTGGGGCTAGGGTCAGAATAGAACCCTATTTCTTTTGGAGATGATCGTCAAATGTTTAGGGGTTGAAATGGACCAAATACTGAAAAAATGTCGGATTTTGCAGTAGCTATACAGGTCGCAATTATAGACCAATCGACGCGGAATTTCGCATGTAGCTAGAGTTTAGCGCGGGGAAGAAGCCTACCAATTTGGGTGGTCATCGGATAATATTTAGCGGGTAAAATAGGCCATATCTTTTTTGTTGAAAAAATTCAAAATTTTTCATTAAACCGGCAATAATTTAAAATACCGGCGAAATCACAAAGCCATGACAAGGTTACTTCTGACCTTTACATTGATGTTAACATCCAACAAATCGGATATATAGCGAAATATGTGCGATATATATGTCTATCAAAGAAGATATGCTTGAAAAATTTCTTATATGTCGAGAACGGCTGGACTGATTTCGACAGTTCTCATTAATTCAGAATGGCCTCTTGGTAGGAAAGAAAAAACGTCTAAAAAATCGCATTAAAATATCTCTCTAAAGATGAAAATATTGATTTTCTAACATTTTCTCATATTTTTTCAATTTTGTCATATTTTTGGCATATTTTCATTTGAATTAAACATTTGGTAATATTTCTACAGCTAACAAAACTAAGTAGTTAGGATATCAGGATATAATATACAGATCGCATTTATGGCCCGATCCTTACGAAATTTTGCATTGGGATAAGATGAGGGTCAGAATAGAAGCCTACTCTTTTTGGAGATGATCGCCATATATTTAAGGGTTGAAATGGACCAAAAAACTGCAAAATTGTCAGCAGGTCGTAATTATCGCCCGATCTTCGCGCACATTTGAATGGGGGTTACCGGACATTGCAAAAGCCAAGCAGTTCTGGATGGCCATCCAAAAATATTCAATGTGTAAAGGAGTTTGCCAACTTTTGTAGACAAAATACGAAAATGTCCATTCCAGTAACTATTTCGTTAACGCTGATTTCGTTGAAGAATGTAGTCAAATGTCTGTATCTCATATAGATGCGTTTCAGTCAAAAACCAATAATAAATGTTAATCTTTTGCCACTTCTGAGAGATTATAGGTCTTTGGGAAATATTGGTTCCAGATCTAGGAAGACCATCTACCAATAAATTGGAAATGAGCAAATTAGTTTAAGTTGCTATTATTCGAAAATTAGAGAACGGAACCTGGTGGTTTTCTTTTATTATTTGTCACAATATCTTGTGGAATTCTTTCGAGTATCTCGCCTATATAAACTGTATCGTTTATTATAGTGTTGTAGGGTATTCAACGGTCGGCCCCGCTCGACTGTAGCCTTTGCTTACTTGTTTATTTATTTTTTTTTTCTTAATTTAATATCTGAAAAAAATGTACTGAAAATAGATATAGCTATATATATTTATAACTTACAACACTTTATGTTGGGGTATCATATATCAGCTTTGACCAAAAATGATGTAAAACTAAACTACGAATCTATTTATAAATCTCCCTATCTCGCCAAGCTGAGTCAATATAGGTATGTGTGTCCGTCTGTTCGTCTTTCCATGTTAAATTGTGATTACGATTATGAGCGAGTCCTCACGAAATTTTGCATGGAGGTGGGGTTAAGATCAAACGAGGGGAGGGAGAGGATCGCAAAATATTTAGGTGTTGAAATGGACCAAAAACAGAAACATTTTCTAGATTTTTCATTGGACTAGAGATCACATTCACAGACCAATCTACTCGAAATTTATCATGGGTCTAGAGGTTGGAGCTAGGCAGAGCTAACCATTTTGGACTGCCATCTTTTTGTAAAACAATATGCCATAACTTTTGTGTAAAACAATATGAAAAATCGTATAATAAGATGCTAATAAAAATGTGGAAATGGGAAAAAATAGCAAAATGAACGAAATTACAATAACATAAATGTGAAATTCTTGTTCTTTCCGGAAGAGCGAAAATGATATTTGACATAGTAGGAGCATCTGCTTCGGAAAATACCGATGCTTTTAAGAGATCTTATGATTTTGGAAAATATTGGTTTCAAATCTATTATGATTCATTTTAGTCAAAGAGGTTTTAGACCTGCAGAAACTTTAACGCAAATTGGGGTGTTGTAGGGTATCAAATGGTGGGTTCCGCCCGACCATTGCCTTTGCTTACTTGTTTATATACAGAAGATATCTTATTTATTGGTTTAATTTCCGCGATTTTCCTAGATTTTATCCTTGTCTGTCAAAAGACCTTTCCGTATTGGTGGGAATTGTGAAAATCGGCCCAGCGGCCGCTAAATTCCGCGTCGATCGGTAAATAATTGTGGCCTGTAGAGCAACAGAAAAATCAAGATTTTTTTCTGTTTTTGGTCCATTTCAACCCCTGAATATTTTGCGATTTCAAATTCGTGAGTATCGGGCCATAATTGCGATCTGTAGCTTGGACAGACGGGCGGACATACATAGCTAGATCGACTCAGCTCGGCGAGATAGGATGATCCATATATACTTTCCTTTGTGGGAAACCAATATTTCGAGGTGTTGCATAATTTTTGGCCAAATCAAACATATAATACCCCAACACATAGTGTTGTGGCGTATAAAAATATATAAAAAGCTGATCTTTTTCATTCGCTTCCCATTTCAGTATCTAATATCAAAAAACCTTATGTCAAAAAATGGTCCAATCCCGAAATATATTTTAAATATATTGTTTTTTATCTACTACAAAACACTGTTCCAAAATATAAATATTATTATCGCACTTTCCATACAAGCTAAACCAAAGTGCACCGACATGTTAATTTCCACCAACTAATTTTAAGAGTTCAGAATTGTTATAATTTCATAAAATGAGCTCGTATATAAGGCCATAAAAGATAGTTAAAATCACTATGGCTGGTAATGCATGACAAAATTCATTAATATTTTTCCGACGGCTTTGTCATAACTTCTCCCAAACACTTCAATGGAGATTGAAATTAAAAGAAAATAAATTTATGTTTTAAAAACTCGTTCTTGTATTTTTTTAATATAAAATATTATTTTAAGTTATTTTATAAAATATTTACATAAATGTGTATAAAAATTTATAACTGATTTCAACATTTTTGTTAGTTTGTTCTTTTCTCTCTCTTTTTAAACATATAACAAAAATTTGCAACTTTTGCTAAACTTAAGCTACGATTAAGATCACTTGGATGATATTTTTGTTCACACTTTTCTTTGAAGGCTTATTTCATTCATTAAGGCTTTTTATTTTAAATTGGAAGCCTTTTTGTTTTAAGTGCTTACAGCTGTTGGCCACATCAAAACTTTGAGTATTGTCCATTTTGGTCTACAAATATCCGATGATAAATCAGGCTGAGGCATTATTATCACAGTTTCCAGAACTGGAGCACTCCGCTGACCTGAGGCAATCGAGTGCATCAGGGCCCCACTGGGCTTAGCAGCGGTTGTGGACACTTCAAGTGTCCTGTGCCCCAATGTGTGCATGTTTCACTGGTGTATCGACCCAAACTTTCTTTGGGCCCACAAGTCATTTGTCCGACGGCAAACTGTTCGTTGCATTTTAAATTTTTCGCTGGCTGTACATGTCACCAATCAAACGAACAATGGTAATGTCACCAATAGTTTTGCGGAAGAACAATTCCTCAATGGCAAACGAGGAGACTTTGTGCATCTGGGTCAATACACTCATAATGCTTTGGAAACGCATGGGTTGGCCGGGATGTAGACGGGCAATGTAGCCAATGAGGGCATTACGGCTCTCATCATGTAAGGCGGCAATTTTGGTGCTTTCGATGAGGCCACGAGATTCGGCAGAGATGCTGGAGTTGGGACTGCCGTTGCTGGTGGACAGTGAAGAATTGGCCAAATCATCGGAGCCAGGGCGGCGGAATAGGGTCAAGGCACGAATGAGTTCATATTCATGGCTATCAATGTTGAGATGACACAATTGATTTAGGACATCTTGGAAGGCATGCACTTCACGGGTTACCAAACCGGTAACATCGCGGTTGGGATTTTCCGATTCGTAAACGAACAATAGCTGAGTGAAGTTCATGGGCATGAGATATTGCGCCATGGCCAAGATGAAGAATTCCTTCCAGGAGTCTTCCAACAACTGCAATTGATCGGGCAGAGGCAATTCACCGAATGAGGGCACGTTCTTAATCCAGTTGATGTTCTTGAAGAGATGTTCGGCGGCAGTTTCTTTAATGTGTTCGGCAGCCATTAGTGGAGGTGTGGGTGGCAAGACACGGGTGGCAGCCAAGGCATTCATGTAGGCGGCAGTGGGTGCAAAGAAACCGGGATGAGCTTGATGCATGGGATGTTGGGGTACACGAGGTACAGATAAATCCAAAACTGATGGTGGTGCAGGGAAGGCTCCAGCCAAACTGGGATGCATATGATGGGATCCTGGAATTGGCATTGGCAAGCCGGGGAAACCAGTTAAAGCTGCGGTGTTCATAAGAATTTCAGCTGGGATCTGGGGCATTTCAGAGCCACCCATCATGGCATCTTTGTACATGGCCATGTGGCGGCGCAATGTGGAGTTGCGGGGTCCACGTTCGTGTTGGACAGCATCTTTGTTCATGCCAACTTCGAAACATTTGCGCAAGCGGCAGGCACGGCACTGATTGCGATGGGTTTTGTCCACCACACAGAGTCCTTGTTTCTGGGATTTGCACACATATTGGCGGGAACGCCGAATGGAACGCTTGAAGAAACCAGCACAGCCATCACATGCATAGATACCGTAATGTTTGCCAGAACTGTGGTCACGGCAAACTTTGCAAGGCACATGATATAGGATGCGACCTAAAATTAGAGCAAGAGAGAAAAAATCAATTAGTAAATTGTGAAATGAGACTCGAGAAATATTTTGTGAATTCCTAGCTGGAGAGGAAGCAAAACTTCTTTGGCTTTTTCAAAATTTGGGTAATCCTTTGAAATGGCAAAGTAACTTTTGGTTCATCCTTGCTGTTAATTCGCCTGCTTCGTTGAGAATATTGCTTGGTTGAAATACTTACTTGACGCAGCTGGAGATAATCTGACGGAGTTGTATTTTTGATCCATAATATCGGGAGATCCTTCGGTGGTTTGCATTTTGTTGTTTGTTATTGTAAAGTAATCCTTGATCGTGGTTAAATGTATGTTTTTTGTTCTATCAAATATTTTTAATTCGTAATTGTTGTAAATATATTTTGTTTTATTTTAGTGTTCTCAGCTCTGTTTGAGTTGTGTTCACTGTTTGAGATCCAAATAGTTTGTGTTGCTAATTCACCACCGTCCTCGTCCTTTAATAGTCCTGGCGCAAATTTTGCACTCTACCATTCATACGGCCAACCAATGTTACGATCATCCCCTTTTACCTAGTAAGCGTTCGTTCATTGGTTACACACACAGCCAAGAGGGTGCATTTTTGTTCTCTTTCTCTCACATTATCCTTTAATGAAGAGCATTCGTGTGCGTGTGTGGAACAACCCCTCATGCAGATCTTTTGGCCTGTGCATGTGTATATTCGCATACATTGGCAGAGGTTTTCATTCAGTGCCGGAGATGATTTTATGACATCTCTTTTATGGTGGTTTACCTGTGTTCTGCTCTCATTTCGAAAATTTTATGAAAGAATTATTGTGCCTGTGAGAAAAGGGTGGCACGTTTATTGCCACTGGGCTGTGTGCGCTGCTCTTCCATCAACTGAACTGAAGGACCATTGTTAATGTACATCGTTGTTGTTACCTGTTCTCCGGTGCTCTAGATGTTCTACTAACGTTTTAATTTTCTCTAATGATGTTTTCTTTCTTTGCTTCACTTAATTGCTCTCTTTTTGCATTCATTGTCAAGAGGAATATAGTTTTTTCGTTTACTTGGAATTAATTGTCGATGGCTGTTTGATATGCTGTTGGGAAATTCTAAATTTTATTCTTTATTTTGGATAATCCCTGAACTATTGAAAAAATCAAACATTGGAATTCTTAATGTTTCTCATTTTGTATTGGGGGCAAAGTGTGTTGATGTAATTATTGGGATTAAAGGGAAAGCAATTGAACTTTGCAAAGATTTTGGTTTTTTTATGAAAAACCTCGTTTCAGTTGAGTAAAAAAAATCATATATGATTGGTAAATAGGTTTTGCAACGAGAAGCAATATATGGCAACAAATTATATTTCAGAAAAAAAAAATGATAATAATAGTGAATTTTGATGAGAAATATTTCAACATTAAGAACTCAGTTTCTAAATTCACTATCATCTGCAAATATCATAAGATTGTATTCTGCGACCTGTGAAGTATTTACAATTTAAAATGGACGTCGATATATATTAATCGGTACACAATATGGTGGATCTAGGACCATCATTTCGAGTTTTTACAAACTTTTTGACCAAAACACGGCAGAGTGGCATAAAATAAATTAAACAAAATTTATATGAGTCTGCATATAAAATAACAAAATCTTTGTGAGTGTTATCGTAAATTTGATTTTGAAAGTGAAAATTAGCCGAATAGAAGATCCTTGGAGTCTTAAAAGTCAATGATAAGCACTGTAAGGAACAAGTGTGCAACAATTCTACCACAGATATAACAAATGAAAAAAAAAACAAAATATCAATATTTTGACAAATTTGTTTAGTTCTATTTTAGAAACAAAAGTAAGCATAGATTGATTATTTCGAAAAAAAAATCTTAGGGAGACCGAAGTTATAACAAGAAAAAAGCTGTAAGTTCGACCGGGCCGAACTTTGAATACCCTCCACCATTGGGAACGCATTTGACAATTCTAGAAAACAAAAAAATTCCGTTAAAAATTCTGTTAAAATCTTAAAAATACGGAATGAAGCTGTTATATTAGGGTCTATACGACGACATGGACCTGCATAGGTAGCCAAATATTCAAATACGAAACTTAAAAAAAATCGATGAATAATATAGCTAAAATCATCAAAATACCGAATACGGGGAGGTGCTGTTATATCGGAGCTATACGAAGACGTGGACCTGCACAGACAATGTTCTGTCTTATCTGTCTTAGGATGTAGTATCCATTACAAACCTCCAATACCAAATTTGAAACAATTCCGGTGAACAATGTCGCTAAAATCATCAAAATACTGAATATCGGGAGGTACCGTTATATAGGGGCTATATCAAAACTTGTACCTACATGTCCCATTTTCAATACCAAAAGTCCTGCAGACATAATATACATTTGAGAAAAATTGTATCAATCTACTTCAATTCGTTTGGAAGCTAGAGTGATTTCCACAGACGACATTGAATTTTATACTAATCAAGAATATATATAATTTGTGGGGTCTAAAATATATATTTCGAGGCGTTACAAACGGAATGGCAAACTTAATATACCCTCCATACTATGGTGAAGGGTATAAAAATCAAATTTCGACTGTTATTCATGTATCCATGGAGATTTTTAACAGTATTTTTACTACTCATGTAGGACTACTTTAACTACTAAAGAAGATCTACTAGTCCATCTTATTATAAATGACCAAAAGGTATTTTTAGAGAAGACCAAAAGTTCTTTACATAGAAAATCAGAAGGTATTCTCATAGTAGACAAGAAAGTCATTTTATGGGCGGCAGGAAAGCATTCTTCTTTCAGAAGATGAAAATATTTGTTAAATGACACGAAGGCCTTCTTATAGAAGGTCTTCCTATAGAAGAAGACATTCTAAAAGAAGGCCTTCGTGACATCTCATAGAAGACTCGAAGCTCTCCTCATAGAAGGCCCGAATGTCTTCTCGTAGAAGACCAAAAAGGTTTTCTCATAGAAGCCCAAAAAGCTTTCTCATAAAAGTCTTCCATAGACGATCAGAAGGTCTTCCATTGAAGATTAGAAGGTCTTCCATAGAAGATCAGAAGTTCTTCCATACAAGGTCAGAAGTTTTTCAATAGAAGGCCCGAAGGTGTTCTCATAGAAGGCCATAATGGAACAAAAAGGTTTTTTCATAGAAGGTCAAAAAGGTCCTCCCATAGAAAACCAAAAGGCGTTCTCATAGAAGACCAAAAAGGCCTTCTCATAGAAGACCAAAATGGTCTTCTGATAGAAGACCAAAAATAATTTTCATGGAAGACCAAAAAGTTCTTCTCATGTAAGATCAGAATATATATATTATTATATAAGATCAAAACATCTTCGCACAGAAGTCCAGAGGGAAATCTTATATATCGAAGGTCTCCTAATATACTAACAGAAACATTCTTTAGGTTTCAAAATGTTTTTACTTCAAAATTCAACATAAAGCGCTATTGTGATTATTATTTCCTGTTTTTTAGTAAACAAGTAAAAACAAAAAATTGCCTAAATATTATCTTTATATACATTCTTTAATTGAGCCAAAGATCTGTATCATATGTAATCTCCTATAGTCTATAATCATAAGACCTTATTATAAGCAATAGGTGTGATGATATTTCATCCGTCAAAAGTAATAGCTTGGATATAAAAATCTATAGAATCTTAGTTACATGCTCAAACCAGTGCATGCCAACCTTAAGTCTCTGATCTACACTTAACCCAAAAAGATGGACCTCCAATGAATCCTGCCCTGATCCAAAGGAATTGTGCATGATATACGCCAGGCCTTGCTATAATTGATCCTTACCAGAATCTGGGAGGATTCTGCTAACCAGCAAAGAGAGAGATTCTGTTGGCACAAAACTCAAGAATATACTTAGTCGTGACGAGGTAGCTTAACATGGCAGACTGGATGCCTAAGCGCAGGCTTGTCTTAGCTGAGTGGCTTGCTTGTGCCGACTTGGTAAATAGCTTAACATTAACGAATGTTTAATCGCTGCCAACTTAATCCGCCGATTAAGTACTACAATTTAAATCATACCCTGGTTACAGTGAATTCTCTTTAAATTCATAGTTAAGCATAATAATGCGAGAGAATAAACCTTTAGATTCGCCAGCCTATGACAAAAGGCATGCTAATGCAAGTTAAACTGAACATGGAAGATAAAGACAGGATGGCTGGGAATTTAGTAAATCTTAAAATCGTAGAATTTGCGAAAAGAAATTTGATGTCGTAGTTACTTTAAATTAAGAAATTGTATTTTATATTTGCATTAAGCTATGGAAAATAGCTGACGTGCAACGGCAAAATTTTTTAAACGTTATATTTGGGTACCAAATGTACTCAAGAATTATTAAACAGATATTCATGGAATTCTGTACAAGAATTGCAAGTAATTTAGAGGGATAAAGAGCCGCGATAAAATTTGTGATAGAGACAAAATTTTTAAAGCCTTTGATTTTGACACAATAGTTATATATAGGGGGTAAAATGAACCACAACTTTCGTGTGAAATTGTTCTGAATACCTATCAGCACGACAGGGAGCGTAAACACATGGCAAGTGCCCCCGGTCAAAAAAGCCAAAACTTAACATTTGTGCAGGGCTATATGGCATTATTTCTAAAAGAAGTCTGCCAAAATGGATTTGGACCTAAGGGGCTATAACATGGTTGGCCTGCACGACTATAGCCTTTGCTCACTTGTTTTTCATGTAAATAATCATGTTTTTTTATTTGGAAGTAATATCTCTCCCCACAACTGCATACATAAAAACAAGAAAAAAAGCAGCTAAGTTCGGAATGACCTGACTTTTAATCTCCTCCACAATATAAAAGAAACTTGCCAAATGTAAAAAAAAGTACGTAAAAATGCAGCTATAGTTTTGTAAAATTCCGAATATTAGGTGTTACAGTTATAAAGGATTATTCTGTCATTGGAAGTAGTAGCAATTGCTCCTACTCCAAATTCCGACATACAAATTATTCGGCTGAAATCGTCAAAATACCGAATATTTAGAGATGCCTTTATATGGGGTCTATACGAAAACATGAATTTTGGTATAGGCAATTGTATAGGCCAAATACCAAATTTGAGATAATCAGTTGAAAAAAAGTCGCTAGAGGCCTTAAAATAGCGAATGTTTGGCGGTATCGCAAGTGGAAAAACCGCAGTTTTGATCATAGAAGGTAGTGTCCATTATGAATACCCAATACTAAATTGGAAATAATTATAGTTAAAAGTGTGGCTAAAAAACAAAATATCGAATATAGTAAGTCATCCTTATTTTGGGTCCTATACGAAGATGTAGATCTGCATGTCCTATTTTCTTTCACAGGCTGTAGTACACATTAAGAACTTACAATTCTAAATTTTGAAAATTTGAAACAATTCCGGTGAACTATGTTGCTAAAATCATCAAAAT